AAAAAACCACAAACGATGAAGAAGAAGAAGAGCGAAAAATTGCGAACTCTAGTAAAAAAAAGCCCAATCTATGAAGCATCGTGCCTGAGGCATATAAAGCTCTCAATACGCATATTATAAGAACGATAATGTTGCTAGATCAATTAAATTTCGTCGTTTTTCGCTTCGTCGAAGCTGCGGAAAAGAAAAAAAATTCGGCTGCGAAAAATAAAGACGAAACAGAAATTGATGAAAATTCTTAGACGAACCCACATGAATATTGTACAAAATTTTCAAGAAGACGAAGTAAAACAAAGATATCGAAAAAAATTGCTATTTTCATAAGATGGGGAGTTGGTGTGTGCGTATGCCATTGGGCGTGTGCTACGCATTTTGTATATTTTTACATCGACGACGAGCCGAAATTTTGTTGATCAGAGCTTCAACCGGAGTGCTTTTGTCGCAACAAACAATAACCAACACAGTCAAAGTAACCAGATAACATTTTGACTTCGTCAAAAATGTATTTATAATTTCTCAGCGACTGAAGCCTGCCACTCTGTCGGGTTCCGCAACGAGTTTTTGATGTCTACTTTTGGTATTTTGCATTAATCAGATTGTGTCTAGGTTTCTATTCCTCCTAGAGCGATTTCCAGCTTCGAAAATGAGCGTGTTGTGTATCGCACGCGTGTATTCTGCTTGCTCTCGACCAACGCGTACCAAATGCGCTGAGCTTTTGTGTATTTTATAGTGATATATGTACGTAGCGCACATAATGACCCGAACAATGCGACCCTTGTAAAGGCTTACAAAAAGTAATGGCATTGAATCAATCGGCTCACCAACCAAACTTGTGCGAAACGACGATGATGACAAATGTGTGCACAGAAGTTAAAACCTGTGAAATGAAAATCACCCGACGACAACGAGAAAAAAAAAAACAAATACAAGCAGCAAATCTTGAAGCGCAAAACAAACTCGGAGCATATCTCATAGCAATGCGTGCATTAGTAATTCGCAAAATACAAACGTTGCCCCTTTTCCCTTCGAAAAATCGTTTCGGATACAGAACAATAAAATGCCATTTTATATACAATTTAGTTTATTATTATTTTTCGGTTGGGAATGAGTGTGCTTGATGCTTTTGCTTTCGCAAAAATGCGCAACACTAAAACATGAGCGCGAGCGGTTGCGTGTGATGTTTTATGTTTGTTTGTTTTTTTTACGCTCAGTTGTACGTAAGAAATGTTGCAAGAGAAGTAAAAACACTTATCGTTTATGTTTCGACTGAGTATGATCGACTGGCAAATATAATCAAACATACTACGTATGGATCGGCATGGCCTTAAGTAGAGTAGTTTTTTGCCTGTATCGCTAAGCAAATATCGTGATTTCCGTCAATTTCAATACACCACCCACCGCCCCCAGTCAGTCAGCCAGCCAACACTCTATTTACTGCTTTCTATCCATTCCAAACCGACTAAATGGCAGAAAAATTTCGTCCCATTGCGCTCGCTCACTTCACTCTCTGTTCTGGACATTTAATTTCAATGACGCAGAACATTACGTCGTTTATTACCATTTGTCGCTTTTATGGAAATTGCGTTTTTAGTAAACAAAGTAACACAAAATTCCCAAGTAAATTTCATAAATATTTCTGTGCGCCAGAGATTGAGATATATTTGTTTCGTCGAAACTTCGAAGGCACGGAGAGTGGAAAACAAAGAAAACGAAAGGAGAGAACGGGATGGAAGTTCATAGAGCGTTCAAACAAGTATTGCGTCAGTATTCAGTACCACGCAGTTGACATTGCTTGAGTAATTTGGTTGTTGGAATTTCGCCCATTCTTGGGCGTGAAGATGAAGAACGAAAGGAAAGTACGGGTGGTTGTGCTGTTGGTTGGTGTTTTTGGAAGCGCATTGTACGCATAATGGAATTTTCGCTGAGGGTCAAATGTTTCGATAATTTGTTTAAATTTATTTGAAGATTTCAAGGGTTCACTCTATGGAATATTAAATTTCAATGCTGGAATGTCGCTCGGCGTTTCTCATTCAAAATTTAATTTCGGAACAATAGACAGAGAGTGCAAAAGCGATAGCATCGAGGCAATGAAATTGGATTTCGTCATTGTTCACGAACTCGACTGGAATGCGTTTCTTTGTATCGAATGCCCAGCCGAAGCTTTCTCAAGCATTTTCACAAGGATTAATCACAGTAACATGATTTATCCAGATTTTCAAAATGCAACTATGTTGCAACACAACCCCATCCATTTACAACGAAACAGCACTAGCAGCACTAACAAATTGTTCGTGTCGCGTTGGTTGTGTATTTGGTGTTTGGTGCCATTTATTTAATTATTTAATGTCGACGTACTCATTTTGTGCTGTAAATCATTGTAAAGTGTAGAAAGCTGTTACTTCTTTCACGCTTTATGCATTTGGCACTCAGTGAATGTATGCACATTGCACATGTACAGGCACATACACATACAGAGACATGGAAAAACCACACCTAGACGATTTATGCAGCCCTGTTTAGCCTTTTGACCAAATTCGTTTTGGTTTGCGTCTTTGTTTCATCTTTCAAATGCATGCACTCGCGAATGGACGAGCCAGTTCTCGTTGCTCAACTTAACGACAAAATCAAGTTTTTTGCAATGAACTACATTTACTTGAAATAATTTCCCTTTGAATAATAATAGTAAAAACCTTCATTGCCATTTTATATGCTGCAACATTTTCATTTGCTCGTCGTTCGTTAATGTGATTTTGATATGTTGACCCAGAAAATGCAAATGCCAATCGAGCAAGCAAGAACATAAAATGCATTTTTCATTCGACGGCAAACGAACGACACACACACACACACACACAGTCAAATGAAAATCACAAACTACATTGACCATTGAATAATTATATGGAAATTTGATACGGTATTTGAAGTTTAGTGTGCGCCATGGATGCATGAATCATTTTTCATTCATTTTATTAGAGCGCAAATGGACATATAAATGTAATTATTATTTTGCGTGCTCAATATTTGAACAATGAAAAAAGCGGAGAGAACGAGCGATTTCCATTTTTGTAGTAAATCGAAAAATGTTGGCAGTTTTTTTTCTTGGTCTGCTTCTCTAAATGCATTTCAAATCGTTCCAAACGACAGATATTCACTTGAATGAGCAATTTCGATGCTTGTGTATATATTCAATATAATAATAACTCGATCTTCCAATTTTTCCCGTTTGCTTCTTTTGTTCACTTTGCTGGAAATTCAATTGATAAAAACAGTTAAATAAGAGAATTGATGGATCCATTGTTTCACTTATTATTTTATCATTGTGCAAAATTGACGGAGTAGTTCTTTCCCGCTAATGGCCGAACCACGCTACGGCTGTGCTCTTTGTTTTTCGGCTTGGAGGGGTTGTGCCGGCGAAAAATGCTTTTCAATAAGACCAAAAATTAATAAATTATATTTCGTTTTTCAACAAGAGAAAATGGCATTAGCTCGCACGCGCGCGCGCCTCCACCCTTCGCATGCGACTACATTCAGTGACAGCAGCAATTTTCGCGCCAACGAACTGCATTAAAGTGATGAAAAAGTTGTTACTCATTTCATTTCTCATTTCACTTTGCTTGCGTATCTTCGTTGGTCGTTTTTTTCTCTACCATTCGGCTGTCATCTGCCTGGTTTTTATCATCCTGTGTGTAAATTTCCGTCTTGAATTATTGTATGAAATGCCCCGAGAAAAAAAATCGCATTTGCCACGAACCGAATGGGTGCAAGAATGGGTGAGAGCGAAAGAGCAAATCGACGAGCAAAAAAAATACACCAGCAAAAGAAGAAGTAGACAATAAAACAACAGAGAAACGATGAAGCGAACGAAGAAGAACTAAAATGGCAAAGTAGTGCACAGTATCTGGATAGAGTCCAAAATGTATTAAATAGCTCTTTTGTTATTTATCGATTGCATGCCAAGAATTTTTAGTTATAAAATAAGCGGAAGAAGAACGAACGAGAAAGAGAGAGAGAGGGAGAGAGAAAAATAAGAGAAAGAGAGTGCCGTTTCAATATGGAACAATTCGTTTCGATGGTGAACGAAAGACAAAGTGAGAAAAAAAAGTGAGCGAAGAATGCTCAATGTTGCCCGCTTTTCGCGCGAGCACATTAAACGGATTCCGGTTATGAAATTGTTTTCTCGTTGAATACACACGAGGCAGAAGAAGAAGAGAAAAAAAAAACGAAGAGAAAAGAGGGAATGAACAAAAAATATAAAAATGTGGAATCTATCGCATTCGGGTGTTTGGTTGGCTATCGATGATATTTCGCCCATTTTACCGACACAAATTTACTATGAATCTCAGCGCTGAAAACTGATTACTCCGCATGAAATAAATATTTTCCACATCCAGATGCAGGAATTTCGTTCGGTAGAATAGAAAAGTTTTTGACGATACCAGATGGAAACGTGGAACTTTAAGCGCGCGAGCACGCACGCACGCACGCACGCTCGCCAGCAACACTGAATTCTTCCGGAAACGTAGTGAAAAATAAGTAATTCACTTGAATGAAATGGAAATTGAAAGAGAAAATAGCCACACAGACAGAGACAGAGAGAAAGAGAGAAAAATTGCAAATGAAATATAAATAATTCTTAAAGTATTTATGTGACAGGCAATTAGACGTTTTTACTGAGTTGCAAAACTCTTATCAACATATGCACCATGTGTGATAAAATGATATAAACGCCCTCGGCAATTGTGCAATTTATAAAGAGAGAATTGCATTTTCAGTGCATGACGTGAATGCATGCCATCAAATAAATAACCATTAACACTTATATCACAACATACAAATAGACACTAACACCACCCCAGGCCATTCACCGGCATTATTATTTCATTTTCACAGAAAGTATTTTACCTATGATTTATATATGTACATTTCATTTACCCAACATCTAATTGTGTATCATCATCCATTCGTTTTGTTCATTTGTTGCTTTGTTTGTATCTTTGCAGGTGACGCCACTATAATGAGAACGATACGTTAGCTTTGACTATGGGAACAGAGGCATGGGATTGTGTTCGGACCATTGGTCGGTATGGTGGTGTAAGGCATTAAGCCGATCGCGATCATTCGCCACAACTACACTCAACAACTACCTGCTTACCATACTCGTTGTTCTTACAACGATCAACTATACAAACGCCAATTCACTTCCAGGTAAGATCCACATTTCTTTTATTCTTCGCTGAGAATTTACTTTGATTGTTGAAAATTCTTTGAGTTTTATTCATTTTTTATGACTGAATGAATAATATGATTTTCAGCTAATTATTTTACAAAGAAAATGGATTTAATGATAGAAGATTGTTCTTTGACTTGGGATTTGACTTATCGATCTAGAAAATTTGCTTTGTGTTTCACATTTCATTGATTACAATTGAAACACATGCTAATTTCCATTTGATTCATTCTAATTGAAAATTTGTGTACTAAAAAGCCTATAATCTTGACTTGATATTTGAATTGCCTTTTCATTTTCGACTCACATTTATATAACTTGCTCAATAAGCGACTCGGTCACAATGTGAGATACATTCGAATTAATTCCAAATTCAAAGTGAGTAAACGTCGAATTCTAAATACAACTTGAACGAGCTACAATTTGAAGTTTTGATAGTTTGAAGGATTGAACTACAAAATCTCAAACAATTTCTTCTTTTCAATTGAACAATGAGCACATTTTTCGTTACCAGCGCTGTTGTCATAAGTTAACATAAGTTTATAACAAAGGGGGAAATACTTGCCAATTAATCATCTTAAATTAAATTCCCGTTCTTGTTTCGAATTGTGCATTCATTTTTGTATCACCACACAATGTATTCCATCAACTGAGTGTACAAATTGTACATAGTTGTTTTTACAACATAATTGAAGTGCAATTTTTCATGGAATTTATTCGATTCAAGTGGAAAACTTTAAATAAAATTCCATTTTCATTCTTCGCATTTATTTTTTTCTCCCTCATCATGAGGTTACATGGTTATGTACGAAAACCCAAAATATGACTGAATGCCGAAGAGCGAATATTTGCACAATTTCGTTGTATGCAATTTGAAAGTTGCTTCAATTGCATCCGAAATAATCCAAAGGTAAGAAGATGAATCGTGCTTGGAAAATTTGTACGTTTAATCTGATTTAACGTGCTATTGCACCCCTTTTTGGCAGCGAATTTCAGAAAACACGAGTTTGTACAATCTGTGCTAGCAATTACATGCCAGGATCATGTAAAATACCTGAACAACCACCCACCCACTCATCCATACGTACTACACTGGCATAACGAACCAAAAGAGACATAGAGATAAAAAAAGAGAGCTCAAGTCTATCCCGGTCCCAGAATTGCATTCTTCGGGAAATTGTGTGTGTGTGTGTGTATATTTAAGTGCATGCAGGTTACACCTCTTGTGAGCAAATGAATAGCGGGATGTTTGGCGCTGAAAGAATTCCGTTGATGATGATAATGATGATGCCGCTGCTGATGAAGATGGTGGCAGGAAGCATGCTTAAAATAGCACTGAAGACGCTTCTATATTAAATTAATCGAATAACACTAAAAGCTTTAGCTCATTTCTGTATTTAGTTGTCGCATGCAAAATAAATAATGTTCTATACACACTCACTCACACACATTCGCTCTTCGTTCCTCATCACGAGAGTGCCAAATGCAGCATTGTGCTCACTCGTACAATTACTTTGCATATTGACTTACACTCATCCGAGATGTCGTGCACGCAATCATGGCTTTGGCATGAGTGTGTATGTATGTGTTGTACAGCGTGTATTCAATTTTCCAAAAAGGAATGGCGTAAATTAAAGCAAGAATTTTGGTGCACCAAAACAGAGATGGAATGAGTGTGACCATGTGGGAGACAGAGGGTGTGAGTGTAAGCGAGTGGTGTGTCGAGAGAAAAAAAAGCAGGCGAGTGTGTTTGGTGTTCCACTTGTGATGATATATTCAATGGATCAACAGCAACAAATGCAGCCACGTAGAGCGACCGAGCAAGCGAACGAACGAACAAGAGCATCAAAGTATAATCACTTGGTGCAATTGGCTTGCTTAGCAGCTCGCCAGGCACAAACACACTCGCACATACACACAGCCCGAAAATTCACATTCACACTAGAGATAACCGTGCCTGTGCACTACATTAATTTTCGTGCAGATGGCTTGTGCAAGTGGAATGTTTTATTAAGTACTTTTTAGTAGCTCGGCTGTTTGTTGTTGCTGCTGCTGATGCTGTTGCCTTACGAACATACATACGCAAAAACCCAAAGTCGTAGGCCTCACCCTTTCCAAGCTCATGCCTTTTTATTTTATTTTTTTCCCCATTTTTTTCTCGCATTACTTTTCACTTGCTGTAAAATCGCATGCGATGTGAAAAAAAAGAAAACACGCGACGAAAATCCGCGTTGTGCCACATTTGAAATGTTCGTATTTATATATAAATTTCTTGTCGTTGCTTCGTGCCCTCATTCATTGTCTTTCGGTGCGAATACGGAGCATCAGAAAGGAACGAGAGAAAAAAATGTGTCCATAAAACGCCCGAAAATAGAAATGCGGCGATATACCTGAAAATAAAATCAACATACAGCCACAGCAGCATCAGCAGCAGCCGAAAACAACGATGAGCGGGTTAATATGGGAATATTTGAATGTATGCGAAGCTGGTGCTCGTGCAACGCTTTTCCGCGTTTTTGGTTTTTGTGATTTTAAAACATTTCGAAAATGGGCTTTTCCCAACGAAACACACGTAGCAAAATCCTGAACGAAGCCAACAGCAGAGAGCGAGAGATGAGCAAAATGATGTGTACTGCACACACAACCTAGATTCAAATTTTCGGTTTTTCGCATCCGAATTAACCATGATAATGGGCACACGTACTACACTCTCGCTGCCTCTCTGTCTCTCTTATTCACTTTCTCTGCACACAAATGTATACGAGAGTCAGCGAGGAATATACACACAAACAACTCGTCGAAAAATACACACAAAACTTATGACTTCGTTGCTTCATTATTATTTCTCGGCATAATATGCTCGAATAAACATTTCACTGTGTAATTGCATAAACACATTAAATGTTTAATGTTGTCTGTCAATTGTGCAACGAAGCAGTAGCATCGGCCACAGCAGACAACGGCAACGCTACATTCGTTGAGTTTGTGTATTTTTCGAGAGAGAGAGAGAGAGAGAGAGAGCAGCATCGAATCCATCTCTCTAGTTGCTTATACTTTGTGCGATGAAAAATTAGTCATCCAAAAAAGTGGTATAATGCCCTGTGAATGGTATTTATTATGACAATTCTGGAGCGTGCATTGTGCTACAACGACAAAATAAATTCACAATATTGCATGTAGGACAATAAATATGCGCTTCCATCGATTTAACAAGATCCATTTCAAAATACACTAACCAACTATGTAGATATTTTGTATATAGAAAATTGTGAATGGCTTAACAAATTACGCTGAGTGAAAGGTTTATTTTGTTCGGCGCGTTCTATTTATTCCATGTGACATCGTCATCCCAAGTAGGGAACGTTGTTCATTCATTTTTGACGGATATATCAGGATTTGGTTATTTGTTTGGCCGTCTTTTGTTTTTGGTACACTGCAATTTACAATGGCGAACCCATGTAATGAATGAGTAAATGCGACTGGGATTGGTGAAGAAAACGACAACGACAACGACGCAAAGGCACCGCATCGCTGGAAGTTTTATAAAATTATTAATTACCCATTTAAAATGCAAAATCCCATTTTAATACCAATCCAACGGCAACCTGCGCTGAATACACTCTCAAAATATGCCGACGAGTACACTAAATCAGCTCGTTAATTCTGAAGCAGTTCCGAAAAGTGTCGACAAATACCATGCTCCTGCACATAACGAAAGACACGGGTTGAAAGAGTTGACAAAAAAAAAATCCATCGCATCGGTATGGTGTTCTATTGAGATATAGGAATTAGCGAATCCAACCGACAATATCGTAATCCAGAAGCGGATTTTCGTGTTGCTCTCAATTTAACGATATATACAAAAAACGAAGCAACAACAAAATTAGCTACGCGGCAACTGGAAAAAAATGAGAGAAGGAGCAAAAACCAACTTTTTATGTCAAATTCATGAGAAATTGCTTCGCACTGATAACTGATCTCATCTGCTTAATACTGAATGAGAACGAACACTATTTATTCATTTTATCCGCTCTCTCTCTCTCTCTCTCTCTCTCTCTCTCTCTCTCTCTCTCTCTC